GTGGTTTGTGTTTCCACAGAAAATAGGATATTACCCACCCTGTAAACACAAGGCCCGGTTAAACAGTCCCCACAGAAACCTGGAGGGGGTATGTGTGTGTTGTGTGTGTGTTTGTGTGCACGTGGTGCCTGGCCCATGCTGCTGCCATGTCTGCAGCTCGAGCTTTGCACGCGGCAGCACCGTGGCTCTGGGAGGATAAGCTCACAAGGTGTTCATGCACACACACACACACACACACACACACACACACACACGAAATAGGAAGGGGCCCAGCTGGGAAGGAGGCTTTCAGTGGGAAGAGCTTTGGGGATGACACAGGAAGCACGGCGTAAGGACTGAAAGTCAGTATGTACGAGCACGAAACTGGAAAGGAGAAACCACTTTGTAAAACGTTTAAGGCTGTGAAGCAGCCACAAGGATGTGAGTGTAAGGGCGGCAGAGGAGGTCATGAATGGTGGCCGTAACCCCAGTTTCCTGAGGCAGCACTTCTGCTGTCTTAGTTTTGGTTATCTGTACACAGACTTTCCCTAAGACAGCACCACCCGTGCAACACACACAGCAGCCAGCAATCCCTGCACGGCAGCCCTGCGCATGCACAGATCCGTGTCTTCCTGATGCTGTACAAGCTCTCCACAACCTGCAGGCAGAGGTACTGCAGGGACATAACGGCTGTGCACCTGGCCAGGGAAGACGCAGCCCAGGCACACGAAAATGTACGCTGGGCCCCGACACAGCTCGGGGGCCCACCTGCACTGGCCTCCACCGCCCCTCAGCACACCTGGCCACACATACTTGTCTCCTGTGATGGTGATGGTGAATCCGTCATACTCCTTCCCCTGATCTTTGAGGCTGGGAACCTTGGTGTTCACGGTGAAGCCGTCCTTCGTTTTGGTATTAAACTGCTTTCGAGGGAAAACACAAACGTATATTAGTTGCTGCCCTGACACAATCACCTGCAGACAGCTGGGCTGTGTTCACTGCTCCCTGCTGCGTACGGCCCACGTGCTCTCGGCTTCACACGTGCAGTCCCGACTCAGCCCGGGGCCCCAGTCGCACACCCCGTGAGCACGCAGCAGCGTGGAGACCCCAGCAGGAATCTGTGGGATGGTCCCCTAGCCAGGATCTGGCTCCCTGTGGCAGCTGCTCTGGGCTGCTTCTCTTTCCAGCTCGGCTGACAGCCATCCTGTCTGCCAACAGCGCAGCAATGCCGGCTCCTGTACCATGGAAAGGCGCCTTGTGGTCCTGCCAATGCTCCCTGGAGTCGCAGGCCCGAGAAGTGCTCAGCATGGGAGTTTCATGTGCACACATTCCAAGCTTACAGACCATGGGCTGTGAGGGAGTTCCTCAGGGCTGGCCAGAGTGTCTCCTAGGAGCACAGCTGCAGGTGCCAGCTCTGGGTTAAAACTTGTGACGTTCCAAAACAGCACCAACAGGCTCTGCCTTTCCTCTAGGAAAAACGCCTTCCTACTTCAGCCGCTTGATGCCGTCCAGGCTTTTCTAGGATGGATGCGCCAGAGAAAGATGGCACTAATAAGGCCTCCTCCGGCTTCCGACGGGAGGGTCTCTCCACCAGCAGGCCCGAGTGCTGGCTGCAGGCCCGGAGCAAGGTCAGCTGCACAGGGCCGGTGACGAGAGCTGTCGGCTGAACTGAAGCTGGAGGGAATGGCTTTCAGAAGACGGCACAGGTGCTTACAGCTGGAGCCCTGCCACAAACAAGCCCAGTATGAGCACACACTCACAAGGAGCAAACAGGCCTGGCCAAGCCTCTGGCCAGGAAGTGGCAGAGTGGAGGGGTGAGGCTAGCCCCTCTGACTCTGGTCCATGCTCCTGGCTAGGGAGCCATCTGCTGGGCCCTAGTCCTTTTTTAAGTCTTCGGCGTCGTTCACGCTTTTCCGAGGAGCAGCTAGCTACATGCTTCCCATTCAGTTTAAGCACACAAAGACCATGGTGTGGCCGAAGGCAGTCTCGCAGTGAAAAGGCTCCATCTAAAGGACAGGCTCCTACAGACAACACAGGAGCAGTGCTGCCACCCTCTGGCTGCGTGCTGTGGTGGCTGCGTGCTGTGGCGCTCCTCGGCACACTGTGCTCCCCTTTCCACTCTCTGTACAAGCAGATTTTGACTTCTCCCTGACGTCTTACTGAATTTTAGTGGCTGAAATCCACAGGAAAGCAGCTGGGCAGCTGAGCCCCTCTGTGGTGTCCCGGCCCCGTCTCGGGAGCGTCTGTCCACACGGCGTACTTCAGCAGCCAGCAGTAAGTTGTGCACAGCTGTGGCTTTCCTCCTCAGCTTATTTGTGTCGACTTTTGTGAGCTCTCGGGTGCACTGACATCCTGGTCCTGCCTTTCCACGTCAGAGGTGCACCTCAGTCCGTGTTCTCGGCACGCTGTTGCTGTTGGCACAGCCTTGGATCACTCACAGTGCGCAGCATTAGGGAGAAATGAAGCTGGAGGTGGACAAAGGGACTGCCCACCTGAGAGCCACAGCTCAGCCTCAGGAAGCACAACTGTGGCCACAGCCGGCTTGAATAAATCTCTTTTCAAGTCTCTTTTGCTTCCTGAATTGACTTGAAATTCAGATTTTGTTGAGTCTGGTCTCAGCACTGTCCTTCATCTTGGTCACCGCTTAACAATATGTTTATGTAGGGACTTCAGACGGCATCCTCCATAAATTTGCAAACAGCACATTAAACACGGGTTTTCTTTTATTTCTTGAAGTGTTGATTGTTTTCTCTTGTACAATTCCTCCTGAGATACATTTAGAAAATTTTATGTGTGTTTTGTCTGCATTTATGTCTGCACGCCCTGCATGCGTGGTGCCTGAGGAGGTCAGAAGGAGCGAGATCCCCCAGAGCTGGGCTTACAGATGGTTTGAGTCACTATGAGAGGTCACCATGTGAGTGAGGGCTGGGAATCAAACCCAGGTCCTTGGGAAAATGAAGCCAGCGCCTGGAGCTGCTGAGCTCCAGCCCAGCTGTGGTCTGAGGAGAAGCTTACCTTCATGATTGGAAGAAGGTCCTCCACTTTATGCACCTTCTCCAGAGCTTCTCTGACTTCCAACAAGCCCTTGGGATTATTCGCTCTTGAGGAGAGAAGGGCAGAGCAGAAGTGAGGAGGCAAGGGAGATTAATGCAGAATATGAGAAGCCGATCACATTTAAACTTTAAACAGCTGCTCCTAATGACGAGCAGCTCCGTGTTATAGGTCTGGATAGCCAAGGCTCCTCACTGACAGGTCATCCACCCAGATCAACAATACCTGCAGGAAAACCACATCTACCAATCACATCTAGACATCTACATGTCTAGACTGTGGTCCTGCTCCTGAGCACACAGCATTGCCCTGGCATCGGTGTCACATGGAAGTGCGTGTGTGGGCTTTATGTAAATGTCATGCCATCTAACGGAAGGGGCTTGAAATGCAGAGATCTGGGGTCCACAGCTGAGGGGAAACAGTGTCCCAACAACTGGCAACAGCAGGGTGAGTCAATCCAGGCTGACATGTGTGTGACTGCAGGGGAGGATGAAGGTGGGTCAGAGGGAAAAGCTTGGCCAACATAGAGGTGCAGGCTTTTAGCAGAACCGGGACTGTCCTGGTCCAACTCTGCAGTGGGAAGCACATGTGGGGTTTTTCCTAAAGATGCTCAGATCACAGAACCCTGCTAGGTTCCACACAGTTCTCACACTCAGCTGGTAATCACGCCGGAAGAAAGCTCAGTAGGCAATCGGGAACGTCACAGCACTGACGGCAGCACTGCCAAGGCCAAGAGTGCGTGAGGCCTTACACGGAGCAGGCTTTAAACTTCTGATCTGGTTCGTTTGGTCTGCCAGTGTTTCAGTCTTCAAACCTCACAAATATATCACACATGCACGGAATCAATCCTTCACAGCAAAGGGAAGACTGAAGGCTTACCCGTGATAAACAAGAATTCTATCTTTAATAAAATGAAGTATTTTCTCAAAATATTCCAGGTATCTCATGTTAATCACCTGACCCCTGTAAGGCGAAAGTGACAAATTAATCACCATTTTACAAAGGAGTGTAAATATCAGTTCATTCCGGAAACTAAGGCCTGGGGTGGGTTTGGCAAAGTGTTAGAGAGCTGCTTGCTCCTGTCCCGGCTGGGAAGCGAGTTCCATCTCAGCGGGAAGCTTGGGCTCCTGTCCTGGCTGAGAGAGTCCAGGACTCCCGACAGCCACAGGGGACGGAGGAGTTCAGACCCAATGGCACTAAGGGGGCACGCTGCTCCCTCACAGAGCGAGGCACCCAGCTCTCTGCTCATCTGCGTCCGGAGGATGCGCCGCCTCACTGTTTAGCAGCCCTGTCCCTCTGCCCACGATGAACACTCCAGTCTCCACGTTCCCTGGCCTTTCCCTCCTTAAACTCTCACAGGTATTCATGTCTAGCGACAGCTGAGCCTGAGTCCTACAGCTCGAGGAATGCCAGTCCCTGGCTCCTATGGCACCTCATGTCAAGGTCATGACGCAAGTAGGACGTCTCTCCCCAGTAGGGCGCCTCAGTTTCCAGCCCCTACTTTTCCTCCAACTAATCTTAGGCGGAAAGGCCTCCCTCTTCTGATGCTCTTCCAGCAGCCCCCTGAGGCACTGCCGAGTTCCCAGCTACACCTCAGGGCATCTGCAGCTGCCTTCCATCCCCAGCAGGCCGCATGGATCCAAACCTCCACACTGTCCTCAGACTCTGACCCTTTGTTCCCAGCCTGATGTCCTCACAAACCTGTTCATTCCTCTGTTGCCGCCATGACCCTGCACATCTGCCCCTGCTGACCCCCTGAACGGCTCACCATTCAGCTTCTACCTATTGTTCCTGAATCAGTTCCCGAGACTTCCTGCAGTGCACCGTGCTTGGCAGCTACTGGGCGAGTCACAGCCTCCTGGCCGGTGCCCAGGCCGGTTGTCTCTCTTGAGACAACTCAGGCTGTGGACCAGGGCCCTGCTCGGTACTCCATCAAACCCTGATATGGGGCCCCGCAACTCAAGAACCACTCAGCAAGAACATAAGAGGATACATGGTGGCCTCAGTTACAACTCTGACTAAATCTAGTGAAAGGGTCACAGGTCATTCTGTGAGAACCAGAAAGGAGCCAATCACAAAGGGAGAAGAAACATGATTTCTAGAAATTAAGAATGAAAGCATAAAAAAGACGTCTGCACTAAAACCTAAGTTTAAATGTCACATGGTAGATACACATCTGCCAAATGTATCTCCATGTTCACTAACTGGCAAGCAAGCACTGCAAGAGTCCCTGATGTGGGCTCTTCGGCACGTGCTCATGCTTGTTTTCAGGGTAGCTAAGCCCATAAGGGAGGGAAAGGCCAGGTGCCTAGCTGCAGGCTCAGGACAGGACAGAGGCTCTCAAACTGCTCCAACCCGGGAGTGGCCTCACTGACCGAGCCTTAGCGGAGCCAGGGCCACAGCAGAGGCAGGAGGGAACTGCGGTAAACACTGAACTCCCCGAGAATCCCTCCTATGCTGTTCCGAGACTTCCTGACACCCTTGTCTGTACCTCACGAGCTCACCCTTCGGCAGTGCTCTGCACTGCGGCCGCACGCACACAAGTGTGTGCCTCGGGAGGGAGGCACTCATGAGCTGCTGGGTGCAGAGCTAGGCTGGGTGTGGCCCTGTCGAGGCCACCAGGGCCCACCTCACACCAATGCATTCCTGCAAACAGGGCCCAGGCACAAAGCGCGCACCTGATTAGGTTGATGTGGTTGTTGAACCCTCTGCTGAGACTTCGAGCCGGCATCTGATCCAGCCACAGCACAGGCTGGTCGGGATCCGCGATCCTGTGAGACACGGGGCATGAGGGAGGAGACCTCACCCACAGCCTTCAGGATAAACTACGGAGGGGCCTCACAACACTGAGGAGGAGCCCTTACTGGCTCTGAAAAGAGCGTGCTGGCTTGCCACACCTGGGAGAAGCCAGCCAAGGCTGATGGAACTGTCAAGCCGATGGGAGTCAGAATCATCCTGGGAAACACACCATCAGGGAGACTCAGAGAGGAGGAGCTGACGGGGAGACCGAACTCAGGAAGGAGAAGGTGGCTGCGCCCCAGCTCATCTCTGCTTCCTGACTGGATGCAAGCTGGCAGCCTCGTCCTGCTGCCACCACACCGTCCCACCACCATGGAAGCCCCGAGCCACTGCAAAGCCTCCTCCCTTCAACTGGTTCGGCCCTAACAGTGAGCACAGGCACTAAGGTCCTGGGCAGGCATATGTGTACTGGAGAGCCAGAGGGGCCTGCATGGAGGACACGGGCCACTGGGGAGGAAGGACACTCGGAGGACCTCAGGTGAAACTCCATGCTCACGCAGGGGCTTGGAGACTGAGCAGCCCTCACGCCTGTTTCGTGAGCACGGGTGGAGTGTGCTCTGCAGAATGAAGGTAACAGTGATTTCCAGCAAACTTAGGGGAGGGAACGAAACACCTTGATTCATAGGTCTTCGTTCTGTAAGCAGGTCGGGATTCAGAGCTCTTGGTGAGGAAGGGCCGGACGGGAGCGCTCTCCCCCTCTCCCCTGCCCCTCCCCCGGGTTACCTTCTCCACTTCACAGCGATGTCAAACATGTCCCTCCACTGCATCAGCCTCGTCTTCCCATTCATGCGGACCTTTGAGTTGGTCCAGGTGCGGTGTACGGCCTGCATGACTTCCAGCGCTGCCAAGCCCATGGCTAAGGGAGGACACGAGACAGAGCTCACCAGAACCCTTTGCAAGAGGCAAACTCTCCTTTTCTCTCAAGCTTGGTGACCAGGAAAGAACCAGAAGCAGCTGGTGAGACAGCGAGACCGGGCTGCCGCCACCCAGCACTGCTTCCTGCCGAGCCCAGTCCATCCTCCCTCCCGTGGGAAGGACAGCTGCCCTGGCTCAGTGCCCGCCTCTCAGTAAGGGCATGAGAGCCCGGCTCTGTATCTGCATGACAGCAAGGGCCCAGCTGGAGGGAGCGCCCTCCTCCAGAACTCTCGGAACTACGCTATGCATTTCCGTTCTGGCTACGTGGAAAGCTGAGTACAACAATTTCTAAAGGAAGACAGCCCGGCCTAAAGACCCTGTTCCCGGCCAGAATTTCCAGAGTCCCGGAATACCTCTGTGTACCCTCTTGTTGGGCAGGAAGCCCGGTGTTTCGTACTGCATCAGTGAGCCCAGGCGGTCAGCTACACAGATCAGCTCCTGCACTTCAGCCTTGTAGCCTTCCAAGCTCTGATGGAGCACATCCCTGCAGGAAACGCACACTTGCACAGTGCTCCGCTGGACCTGAACCGGGACCAGGCGGCCTCTGCAGCCTGGCATCCCATCACACTCTAACAGAAGCCATCTCTGTGCGCCGTCTGCTCGCACATGCAGGTCAGCACACCAGTAAGTAGCACAGGTGGGCTCCAACGCCCCATGATTAGCATGTGTCTGGAAGCTGCTCCAGACGAACAGTGTGCAGTGCCCTCCGGCAAGCAGCCATGCCTTGCCCACCTATGTCTCTTAACACATATGCAGTTCTCAGAGATCTGAGCTGATTTCAGCCTGGTTCCTTTTCTCCCCCCCTGTGCTGGGTAGTTTTCTGTCAACCTGACCTAAGCTAAAGTCATCTGAGAGGATGAAGCCTAAGAAAACTTCTCCACAGGGCCAGACCATAGGCCAGCCTGTAGGATATTTTCTCTTTGGTGACTGATGGGGTGGGCACAGACTGTTTTGGCTGGGCCATCCCTGGGCTCTATGCGGAAGCAGGGGAGCAAGCCAGGGGGAGAAAGCCGGTCAGCAGCACCCTCCATGGCCGCTGCCTCAGTTCCTGCCCCCAGGTTCCTGCCCTGACTTCTTTCAGTGATGTGGAAGCTAAATAAATGTGAAGAGCTCAAGGCCCGAGGCGGCCAGTTGCTCCTTCCCGACCAGTATTCGTGGTGCGGGGAATTAGAGGTTTCGCTTTTGTTCCCATGCTGTTAGCGTGTGGGCCTACAGGAGTAAATGGGTGTAGCCTTCCTACTCCGAGGAGCCTGCCACCATGTCTGGGAGGTCCATGTCTGTGTGGGATGCCTCCCACACAGGCTCACACTAACTCCTCAAGGCTCCCTGCTCCGCTGCAGGGCAGCAGGCACACTGTCTCCCATGAAATGCCAAGCTGCAGGGATGTCTCAGCTCTAGGTCCTGCTAGGCACCTGGCAGTCAGCCTGTGCCCTGCGTCTGTTCTGTAACCCGCCTGCCCTTAAGGGCATGTGCCTTGGTCAGCTCTGACAGAAGCTGCCCAACAGTGCGGTTTTAACCTGCGGTCCTTGGCTGGCCCAGGGCTCCTGCTCCTTCCAGCGCTGTGACTGTGACTGTGCTACCACATCTGCTTACAACCTGGTTCACCAGCCTGGAGCAAAGGATAGCGTTCACTAAAGACTGCCCATAGCCTCCATGATGCGGAAGGGCAAGAAGTGCAGAGAATAACATCTGGGAGAAAGCTTCAGGCTGCCTCACAGGAGGAAGAGCCGGTGACATACAAACTGCACAAGGAAGCACACAGGAAGTTGTTTGCTGACAAGAACGATCAGCCTTCGGGAGGCCGAGGCGCTAAGCCTGAAATCAGCCTGAAATGAATGCACACTCAGCACTACCCACAACAAACGTTAAAGCAGAAGTGAGCATCGGGTGGGTTTGGGGCACCCCCTGCGCCCACACTGCCCAGCACTCACTTGATGTGTGGCTGTAGCCCAGGCTGTTCCTCGTAGCCGTCTATGAGGAAGGGCAGGTTCTTGGCCCAGTGGTCCTTGAAGCTGCCCGGCAGGTCTGTGTCAACGTTGTACTCCGTCAGAGGGGTATCAAGGTGAGCATGCAGGTACCGAGAGTACTCTGTAGACGGAAAAGGAGCTACCGAGGCCAGACCCAGCCAGGGAAATCCTGGCCAGCACGCTCAGCACACTGACGCTTTCACAAGCTGTGGCTCCAGGGTGACGGGAGCCCGCTACCAGCCTGAAGCACAAGGGTCAAGCACCCACAGGGCAGCCTTCATCTGCTACATCCCAGCAACCTTGCTCCCAAGCAAGCCAAAGAGCCTGAAACCCGATGGCACAGCAGGCTGAGCCTCGGCTCTGTCCGCTCTGACAGTCACACGGCTGTGCACGCTCAGCACGACCTGACTGACAGCTACATGTCTGTACAGAGCCCTGAAGAAGGGAACAGGCCAGAGCACCAGCCTGCTGCCAGCTCTGCTGAGCCAGGAGTGAAGGGCAAATGTCCAGGAGATGGCCCACAGGGCTGCTGACGACCGAGTCAGTCATTAGAGAGTTCAGGGTGTTTGGGACAACACACACACACAGCAGCCTGTTCTTCCAACTATGACGTCTACGAAGCCCAAAGTATGGTCAAGGTCAAACATGGCTAATAGAGAGTCACATCCAAACTGAGATGTCCTGTGCTGTAACACACCCCCACACCCCGGGGGTCACACACTGGAGTCAAAAGTCATGGATGAAACAGCTTTAAAATTTTTGAGCTGGGCACACTGGCACACGCCTTTAATCCCAGCACCCAGGAGGCAGAGGCAGGCGGATCTCTGTGAGTTGGAGGCTAGCCTGGTCTATGAAGTGAGTCCAGGACAACCAAGGCTACACAGAGAAGCCCTGTCTCAAAAAATTTTATTACTTTTAAAATTATTTGTGAGTGTATGTGTGTGTGTGTGTGGTGTGTGTGTGTGTGTGTGTATATATATATGACTGTGTGTGTGACTGCATATGTGTATATACTCGTGTGTGAACACGAGTATGTGTGAGTGTGTGTTTGTATATATGAGTATGTGTATGTGACCGCGTATGTGTGTATGTGTGTATGTATGAGGATGTGTGTGTGAACAGGAGTATGTGTTTGTGTATGCATGGATGACTACTTGTCTATGAGTGTATATATGAGTGTGTGTGTGTGTCTGAGTGTCTGAGGGTGACATATGCAGGAGTGG